GCACGAGGATGAGGCAACAGGAGAAAGAGGAGGCAGGAGGGTGTAGGAGAAAAAGGTAAGAGGAGATCCTCAGGCATGCGGAACAGATTCTCATGTGGGGTCTTCCCGCCAGAAAGATTGCATACGTAGCACACCGCTGCCGCGGATAAGATTGAGGGGGCGGCGGGACGTCTGCAGCCTGTGAGGCTCTGAAGAAGTCCGCCGCAGGCGCCTAATTTGTACAACTGGTGCAACGAGCCCGCCGCAGGCGCCGATGTTTCGTTGAAGCAATATGGGTGGGCCCCGGGTTGGGTCGCAGGTGGGTCGCAGGTGGGTCGCGGGCCGCGGGTGGGTCGCAGGCGGGGCGGATGGGTCGCAGGACAAGTCGCGGATGGGTCGCGGGTGGGTCGTTGGTGGGTCGCAGGCGGGTCGCGGGGCGGGTCGCGGGTGGGTCGCGGGTGGGTCGCGGGGTGGGTCGCGGGTGGGTCGCGGGCGTGTCGTGGGGTGGGTCGCGGGTGGGTCGCGGGTGGGTAGCGGGGTGGGTCACGGAGTGGGTCGCGGGGGGGTCGCGGGGGGGACGACGCCAAATTTCAACAACCACAACCCTTTTTACCTCACAGCGAAGACTGATAGGTTTCTAGTAGGGTCAAAAGAGAGCATCTTGACTCCCCAGGGGGGTCTGGGCGGGTGCCGGGGAGAATCCGCGGAAGTAGTTTTAAGCAAACAGTTACACACTTCGTGGTCTTCGAGGTCCTGGAACTCCATTCCTGGGCATGACTTTGAATGCCCGGAGCCAACTGTAGGCCACTTCGTGGTCTTCGAATTCCCAGAACTCCATTCCCGGGCCACATTCTGAATGCCCCGAGCCAACCGTAGGCCACGTCGTGCTCTTCGAGTTCCCAGAACTCCATTCCCGGGCCACATTTTGAATGCCCGGAGCCAACTGTAGGCCACTTCGTGGTCTTCGAGCTCCCACAACTCAAGTCCTGAGCATGATTTTGAATGCCCGGAGCCAACTGTAGGCCACTTCGTGTTCTTCGAGTTCCCAGCACTCCATTCCCGGGCCACATTTTGAATGCTGAGGCAGGCTGATGCTGAGGCTGAGGCAGGCTGAGGCTGAGGCAGGCTGAGGCTGAGGCGAGGCAGGCTTGGCCTGAGGAGGCTGAGGCTGAGGCTGGGCTGATGCAGGCTGAGGCTGAGGCTGAAGGCAGAGGCTGAGGCGAGGCTGAGGCAGACTGAGGCTGAGGCTGAAGCAGCTGAGGCTGAGGCTGAGGCAGGCTGAGGCTGAGGCTGAGGCAGGCTGATGCTGAGGCAGGCTGAGGCTGAGGCTGAGGCTGATGCAGGCTGAGGCTGAGGCAGGCTGAGGCTGAGGCCGAGGCTGAAGGCAGACTGAGGCTGAAGCTGAAGCAGGCTGAGGCTGAGGCTGAGGCAGGCTGAGGCTGAGGCTGAGGCAGGCTGAGGCTGAGGCAGGCTGAGGCTGAGGCTGAGGCTGATGCAGGCTGAGGCTGAGGCAGGCTGAGGCTGAGGCGAGGCTGAAGGCAGACTGAGGCTGAGGCTGAAGCAGGCTGAGGCTGAGGCTGAGGCAGGCTGAGGCTGAGGCTGAGGCAGGCTGATGCTGAGGCAGGCTGAGGCTGAGGCTGAGGCTGATGCAGGCTGAGGCTGAGGCAGGCTGAGGCTGAGGCCGAGGCTGAAGGCAGACTGCGGCTGAGGCTGAAGCAGACTGAGGCTGAGGCTGAGGCAGGCTGAGGCTGAGGCTGAGGCAGGCTGATGCTGAGGCAGGCTGAGGCTGAGGCTGAGGCTGATGCAGGCTGAGGCTGAAGCAGACTGAGGCTAAGGCCGAGGCTGAAGGCAGACTGATGCTGATGCTGAAGCAGGCTGAGGCTGAGGCTGAGGCTGAGGCTGAGGCTGAGGCTGAGGCTGAGGCAGGCTGATGCTGAGGCCGAGGCTGAGGCTGATGCAGACTGAGGCTGAGGCAGGCTGAGGTCGAGGCTGAAGGCAGACTGAGGCTGAAGCTGAAGCAGGCTGATGCTGAGGCTGAGGCAGGCTGAGGTTGAGGCTGAGGCAGGCTGAGGCTGAGGCTGAGGCTGAGGCTGAGGCTGAGGCTGAGGCTGAGGCTGAGGCAGGCTGATGCTGAGGCAGGCTGAGGCTGAGGCTGAGGCTGATGCAGGCTGAGGCTGAGGCTGAGGCAGGCTGAGGCTGAGGCTGAGGCTGAGGCAGGCTGATGCTGAGGCTGAGGCAGTTTGATGCTGAGGCAGACTGAGGCTGAGGCTGAGGCAGGCTGAGGCTGAGGCCGAGGCTGATGCAGGGTGAGGCTGAGGCAGGCTGAGGCCGAGGCTGAGGCTGAGGCTGAGACTGATGCTGAGGCTGAATCAGGCTGAGGCTGAGGCTGAGGCAGGCTGAGGCTGAGGCAGGCTGAGGCTGAGGCTGAGGCTGAGGCCGAGGCTGAGGCTGAGGCAGGCTGAGGCAGGCTGAGGCTGTGACTGCGACTGCCGTCGCCACTGCGACTGTTATCGCGAGTGCGACTACGACTGCGAGAACAGCAGTATTCTACAACTGGATTTGCATATGAATCTTAAGGGGGAAGCTTCATATATGCTCCTACACATCGCTGTTCGGTTGCTTTGCCGGGATAATTTACAGTCGTGCGCCATGCTTCCACATGTCACATGCGTCTTTGTGGGTACCACACCTTATCATGAGGGACGTTTTTGTTGCATGCGGGGTCCGGTATTTCCTCGCCCAGATCTCCCGCCCAAGCAAGTATTGCCAACACCGTTCCCGAGGAGCTTCGACATCCACAGCTCGGACAGCACATTGCCAATGCAATCGCCTTGCGCAATCCCCGCGCATCTCAGAAAAGGAGGAGGAGGAGGACGAGGAAGGGGGGGAATCCGAGGGAGAGGAAGGGGGAGAAGAGGAGGAGGATGGAAGAGGAGGAGGAGGAAGATGAGGAGGAGGAGGAGGAGGAGGGAGAGGGAGGAGGAGTAGTTGTAGTAGCAGTACCTCCGAGGACGAGGTGGTCCTCACTCCTCGTTCGAACTGTTGCGCCACCATCCTGCGGCCTCGGCGCGTGGCCCGGAATGCTCACGCCCCCAGGCGCTGCCGCTCCCGCGCTCGCATCCCCCGTGAGGGGGGCGAAAAGGGCAAGGGGGTGGGAGGGAGGAGGGGGGGGGGGAAACAGGGGCGGGAAAAGGGAGGATGGAGGAGGGAGAAGAAGAGGGGGTGGAGGGAGGGCGAGGGGGAAAAGAGAGGGGGGGAGGGGGAAGGGGAGAGGAGGAGGAGGAGGAGGAGGAGGAGGAGGAGGAGGAGGAGGAGGAGGAGGAGGAGGAGGAGGAGGAGGAGGAGGAGGGGGAGGGGGGGAGGAGGAGGAGGAGGAGGAGGGAGGAGGAGGAGGAGGAGGCGGAGGAGGAGGAGGAGGGGGAGGAGGAGGAGGGGAGAAGAAGGAGGAAGGAGAGGAGGAGCAGGATGGAGGGCGAGGGGGAGGGGGGATGAGGAAGAGAGGGGGGAGGAGGGAGGGGGGGAGGAGGAGGAGGAGGAGGAGGGAGGAAAGAGGGATGGAGGAGGAGGAAGGAGGAGGGAGAAGAGGAGGGGGTGGAGGAAGGACGACGGAGGAAGAGTAGGGAGGAGGGGAGGGGGGAGGAAGAGGAGGGGGAGGGGGGGGAAGAGGAGGAGGAGGAGGAGGAGGAGGAGGAAAATGGGAGAGGAGGGGCAGGAGGGGGACACGGAGGAGGAGGAGGAGGAGGAGGAGGAGAAAAGGTCGCCCGTCCAGCGTAAAACGGGAGGAATTCTCGGGCGGGAGCGCTGGTTCTGTCGGGGCGCGGGCGGTCGGCGGCGAGCAAAAGTGCCGCCTGGAGTGAAAACGGGGAAATGTCTCGAGCGGGGCGTCGTTGTTGCTGGGGGGCGGCGCCGCCGATGAGAGAAAGAGTGGCGCGCCTGCCCAACGTAAAACGGGAGGAAATTTCGAGCGGGGGCGCTGGTTTTGTTGAGACGGCTGCTTTCGGCGGCGGGCAAATGCACTGGCCCTGAGTAAAAAAAAGAAAAAGTCTCGAACGGGAGCGTTGTTGTTGTTGGGGGGGCCGGTTTTGGCGGTCCCCCAAACCGCTCGAGAGCGAGCCCCATTTTCGATGGAAAATGCAGCCGGCGCCTCGGCGTGAGCGACAGGGCGCCTGTAACGGGCCCAACAATAATATTTTTTTCGTAATTGACTTTCAACAACAACCACAAACAACAACGACAACAACGACAGCAACGACGCCAACAACAACACCGACATCTACATCAACAGCCGCAACAATAACACCAGCAGCAGCAACAACAACACCAACGACAACACGAACACGAACACTGCTATCAACAGTCAGCACACATAACCGAACCGTCATCAAACAGCAAACAACAACCAACACACAATAAGCAACAACCAACAAACAACAGCCAACACAAAGCAACCACCAGACACCAGACACCAGACAACAAGAACAACAACAACACCAACAACAACAACCACATCAACAACAAACACACCGCCAATGAACAACAACAACAACAACAACAACAACAACAACAACAACAACATCAACAACAACAACAACAACAACAGCAGTAACAACAGCAACAGCAACCATACGAACAACAACAGCAATCCACATCGCGGAATCCCACGTCAGCCACGCACCCAGGGACAGTGACTGACTGCTCGGCACCCTCACCCTGATTGCTTCTTGCCGTGAGTTTACCCAGGGCTGTCTTGATGGCTAGCAGTCGGCGTTTGGTCTTTGGTGCATTTGCCCGCGACCTGCTGCAATCTACGAGTTCGCTGGGTACCCATGACGTGGCCAACCTGGGCGAGGGTTGGACGCACATGTTGCCGCATCCCTTCACGCCTCGGCCCTTCTACCACTAGCCAAGTACGCTTGGCCACTGCGTGTGTATCCGCTGCTTGGCCTCCACATGTCCCCATGTGAATACAGCCACATGTTTCCGGTTTCCGGTTTCCTGGGGCACTGCTTCTGTTTTTGTTATTCGTCCTCCCTCCGTCCTCGGATCACTGCGGGCCAGGACGGCGTGGGACCTGGTCCACGCGCTGGAACAGCAGATCGCGAATCCGCACAGTGCCCTCAGGAAGGGCCCGCTGGCGCACCGAGTGAGGGGCGCGGAGATCCTGACGGGCGAGCCCACGCGCGCCCTGGCCTCAGCGTCTCCTCCTCGGCCACCTTTCCCTCCCTTTTCTTCCCCCATGCCTCCCTCCCTCCCGCCCCCCCTCCTCCCATCCCGCCGCCGCATCCACCACCTATTCCTCCGTCTCCTTCTCCTCCTCCTCGCCTTTCATCTCAGCCTTCGCCCCGCCGCCCCGTCCGTCATTTTTTCCGTCTTATCTTTCCGTCTCGTAAGCCGCGAGACGTTATCGTGGCCTGAACATCGATGGGGGTTGCTCAGTTAATGGTGTGTTGATCGTCGGGGCCTGGGTGAGGCGATGAGTAAAGGCATGAGTGCGAGGAGGACGAGGACGAGGACGAGGATGAAGAAGAGGAGGAGGAGGAGGAGGAGGAGGAGGAGGAGGGTGAGGAGGAGGGGGGGGGTGGGGGGGGAGGAGGAGAAACGGAAGGAATTAGAGGAGAAGGAGGAGGAGGAGAAGGAGGAGGAGGAGCAGGAGGAGGAGGACGAGGAGGAGGACGAGGAGGAGGAGGAGGACGCGGCGAGAGGGTGGAGGAGGACAATCGGAAGCATGAGGTGGAGGAGGAGGAGGAAGAGGACCAGGGGGAGTCGGATGGGGGAGAGGAATGGCGATAGTGATGGGTAAGGGGGATTGGGGAATGCGAGGATTTAAAGACGAGAGGAGAAAAGAGGAGCAGGAGGAATTTGCACAAGGCGCTTCCAGCGGGAAATGTGTTGTGTCCAGCAATGTGTAGCTCTGGACCGGCAACCACACCCAGGGATCTGATCAGACAGACGTTGGAGTGCACCGAGGGGGAGGGTGCTCAGATACCGGTGGAAAGTTGTCCCCGCCGGGCTAGGCCGTGTGCGACGTAAGCCTACGTACAGGTGCTTCGCGACCTGGGCTGGAGACCTTTACCAGCCTCGAACTTATCCCTCTCCCTAAGATTGACACGCCAGAAGGCGATGAGAATCTCAGGGATTCGCCCCCAAAAAACTTGGGAATCCCTACGATTGGCATCGTGATGCGGAGATGCCTATATTACGATGGATTGGCATCCCTAAGATTAGGAATCCCTAAACATTGGAATCCCTAAAATTGGCATTGGGAATCCCTAAAAATTTGAATCCCTAAGATTAGGAGATGCCCAGCATAGGGATAGGGATATGTTCCAGGCTGGTAAGTCCTGGCCCTCTCTTCACGGGGGCCACGCGCGGGCGCGAGGGTAGCGCCCTCCGCGCCTCGCGGCGCTCGTCGTTTTTGGGTGAGTGTGAGGCAGACCGGGCGCTGGACCGCGCGCGTCTCCTGCCCCCCCCATCCACTGCTCGCACCGCCTGCCTCGAGGAACTGTTCGACAGACAATCAGGAGGGGAAAAAACACAGACACAATGAATCGTCGATTCCCCAGGGTGACTGTGATGCAGACTGGGCGTTGGACCGCGCGCGTCGCCTGCCCCCCCCCATCCACTGCTCGCACCGCCTGCCTCGATGACTTGGCATCGCTCGGACGTGTGCATTTTTTTCTCGGCGGGGACCATCGAGGACCATCCTGGACCATCGCGCAAAAAAACACACGCACGAAACCGAAAAACGCACGGGAAATGGGCGTCCGAGCGATGGCAGGAGGAACTGTTCGACAAACAAGCGCATCAGCATGAACCTTCGGAGCTCCATGCGCACGTCCTGCAGATCGGCGCTCCCCCTGGCGCGCCGGGCGCGCCGGGGGGTTGGCCCGGGAGGGCGCCGCCAAGGGCGCGCAGCGCCGATCCGAGAAATCCGCGCGGAGCTCCGACAAGTCTACGCGCATGCAGCAGGAGGAGGAGGAGGAGGAGGAGGAGGAGGAGGAGGAGAAAGAGGAGAAAGAGGAGGAGGAGGCGAAAGAAGAGGAGGAGGAAGATCGAGGTGAAGAGGAGGAGGAGCAGGAGGAGGAGGCGGAGGAGGAGGAAGAGGAGAAGGGGAGATCACCCCGCCGGGCGAGACGAGCGGTGGAGCGCTCAGGTCGTCGCAGGAGGAGGCGGTGGCGACACTGCGGACCAGGGCTGCCAGACCGACCCCGCGGAGCCGTGGGCTGCGGAATCAGGGCTCTTCGGCGGCGAGCCCAGGTCTTCTCAGTCCCATCCTGCCTCCCCGCATAGGCGTCCCTGCCCCTCGTCAGCCTCACGCGCACGAGCAGCAATGAGGGAACTCGCGCGGCCTCGAACTCCTTGTGCAACTCTTTGGCAAGACTGAGGGGACGTCCCACCACGAGGACGCTTGTGGAGTTGACGTCGGTCTCTTTCTCCTCCTCCTCATCCTCCTCCCCCTCCCCCTCCTCCCTCCTCCGCCCTCCTCCTCCTCCTCCTCCTCCTCCTCCTCCTCTGCCCTCCTCCTCCTCCTCCTCCTACTCCTCCCCAGGATTATTTACTCGGTTACTGCTGGCTTTGGTGCTTCACGAAGCGCTGCCCCCCCCCCCTCCCCCCCTCCGACCCCAGCGGCCTTACCCGCTGGGGGGGTGGGGGCACAAGAAAAGAAAGAGGTAGCAGACTGGCAAACTGTAGCGGGAGGTGCGCCCGCCTGGCACCCTCCAGGAGAAGAGACATGCCGAGACCTCCTCCGACTCCTGGAGGGTGCGAGGGAGGGGTGGAGGGTGGGGCCGGGAACGACGAAGCGGCGGACGACTTTGCGACCTCAAGGTCGGGTGTTGCTAGCAGTGCCCCTGGCCCAAGGTTCCCCCCAGGATTGCCAGGGGGGCCCTCACAGCCCCCATGAGCACTTCTCCGCGAGGCCCAGGGGGCCCCAGGGGCTGCAAGCTTGAGCGAAAAGCCAGGTGCACCGGCACGAACGAAATGGGAACGGAAAGAATGGGTACAATGATGAACAGCAGCTCCTATTCAGTCTGAACAGGACTCGCTGTCGACGCCGCCGCGGCCTGTGCCCATGCCAGACAGAAGGCCGCCTGCCCAACAGCGGCCGCTGTTGGTTTGGGACAACACTTGTTGTTGGGCACTGTTCCCATTTTTTCCGTACCCATTTCGGGCGTCCTTGGGCCAGGGACTCTTTTAGCAACCCCGAACCAAGGGGAACCCTCTTGCCTAGGGGGGTCGCTCCGGCGTGCGGCGGGAGAGGGTGCAGTGCTGTAATTCGCCGTTCAGTGCCCCTAAACTGCTCGACCGACCTGCTGCGCGCTCGCCGGGTCTGCGACCAGAGAGCGGCCGGAGATGGGCGTTCTCGGCCCGGTTTTACGGGAGGTATCTCGATGCCGATGGCCGGCGGGGAGCGAGGGGTGGAAAGGAAAAGGAAAAGGAGAAGGCGGCGTGATTTTTCAGAAGCCCTCGCGCCTTCAGAGAAATGCTTGGCGTCTTCGGGGAAGGCTTAGGAAACTTCTCAGAAGGCTGAGGGACTTCCAAGCCTTCTGAGAAGGCCCGCCCCTTCTCACCTCCCCCTTGGGCTCGCCGCCAGGATGGCATTCCTTCGTTTTCGCCCTCTTCTGTTGCCTCCCGAGGGGCCTCAGTCGTCACGGCCAGGTTCGCCGCAGAAGTCCTGGTCAGAGCGCAACCCCCTGGGAGAGGTCCGGGGAGGAGCGGTGCGTATCGAGGTCTTTCTCGGAGGATGAGGAGGGGGAGGAGGAGGAGGAGGAGGAGGAGGAGGGGAGAGGAGAGGAGGAGGAGGAGGAAGAGGCAGGAGGAGGAGGAGAGGGGGAAGGGGAGGAGGGGAGGAGGGGAAGGGAAGGGGAAGGGAGGGGGGAGAGGGGAGGAGGGGGAGGAGGAGGGGAAGGAGGGGGGGGAGGGGGAGGGGGAGGGGGAGGGGGAGAGGGAGGAGGGCTTCCCGCCTCTCCAGAGGAGCTGGCCACGCCTCGCGTGCCAGCGGAGCCCGACGACGCGGGCGAGGCGCGGCCCTTCGATCGCGGGGCGCCGGGGCCCGTCGTCTGCGCTCCGGCGGTGCGGCGCCGGGGCTCCCGGATCGGAGCGGGCACGGGGAGGACGGGCAAACTAAGACGAGACTAGGACGAGGATACAATCGGATGAGGATCCCTCCTCTTCCTCCTCTTCCTCCTCCTCCTCCTCCTCCTCCTCCTCCTCATCATCATCATCATCATCACCCCCTCCTGCTCCTGCTCCTCCTCCTCCTCCTCCTCCGCCTCCCCTCCTCCTCCTCCTCCTGCTCCTCCTGCTGTTCCTCCTTATCATCACCATCATCACCACCACCATCATCATCACCACCATCATCATCATCATCATCATCATCATCATCATCATCATCATCATCATCATCATCATCATCATCATCATCATCATCCTCGCCATCATCATCACCACCACCATTATCCTCATCCTCATCCTGATCATCAGCATCATCAGCATCATCATAACTACAATCATCATACGCATCATCCGTAGCCATCTTGGCTCAAGCCATTCTGGCTCAAGCCGTTTTGGCTCAAGGAACAGGGTTTATACTTCGGTTCCGCCTCGCCTCCTTCGTGATTTTACCACCCAGGCTTACATAATAGGCTATTTGCAGGCTCGCATGAGTAGTGATCACATCCCCGTCGTCGCCTGCATCGACCCCATCACTCCTTCCGCGAGCTCTCGTTCCATTGCCCCGTGGTTGCCAAGCTCCCAGGGTTCCAAAAGGCCCTCGACAGCCTCCTCAAGCAGATCCCTCAGGAGTGGGACCTCTGGAACAAGCTTCCGTATGTGAAAGAATGTGTCTTCGAGGCGGCTGCGTCAGCACGAAAGGCGCTCCTTGCCCGACAGGCCTCCTCGCTGCGCGAACGCCACTTCTGTGCCCTTGCAGCGCTTCGTGCAGCGCGGCTCGGACACGGCAACCGTCTAGCAGATGCGCTATGCAGTTATTCCGCGTCTGAAGGTGCATTTTAGCCAGGACCTCGAGGAGTGCGTTAACCTCGATGGCCTCTGCCATCACGTGCAGGCTCTCTCTCTCTCTCTCTCTCTCTCTTAAGATTCTGGAGGTGGAGGAGAAGGACATTCGGAAGTTAAATATTGAGGAGGACAGGAGATTGGCTCTACTTGCCCGCAACGCCCGTTGTAAAGAACCCTGGCGAAAATTCAAGAGACGTATCTACCTCGAGAACATACGCGGGGACTGTGGGGAGATTCTTTCGAACATTCAGGACTCGGCGACAGCCCTCCAGGAATACTGGGCCTCCATCTTCGGCAAACCTTGGATCAACCCTGATCTCTGGAGCACTGTTAACCTCAACGCTCAGGATCTTTCGGGGCCTTTCAAAACGGAATGACAGCTCGCCTACAGCACATGGTACGAGACGATTCTCCACCGCCCTAAAAGTATGCCAGGACAAGACGGCGTCCCTTACTCTGCTTGGGGAAATGCCGAAGCCGCGCGCGCGTTGCACGATGTCTATGCCACCCTCTTTGCAGATCAGGTCTCGGCCCTTCCGCCTGAGGTGCGCGAGTGCCTCCTAGTCTTTCTCCCCAAGGGCACGGACCCGAAGGGCCCAGCGGACGGCACTGGTCTCACACGTCACCCATCTTGTATCCGTCCTCTCAGCATGCCTAATACAGATGTCAAGCTGATCGCTAACGCATTCACAATCAATGTGACGTCTAATGTATCTCATTTGGTGGATACAGATCAGGCCTGTCTTCGTGGTCGGGATATGCTGGCGCATGTCGCTCGCGCGGAGACTTGGGGCATTAGCCAACGCATGCAAGGAGTTCCATGCGTCTCTTTGTTGCTCGCCGACTTCTCTGCGGCCTTCCCACCTCTCGCTCCCGAGTGGCCATTTCATGTGCTTCGCGAGATGAAGCTGCTTCTTATCCTCGTTCGTTTCTTCGAGATCTTATACCATGAGAACGCTGGCACGGTCCTCTTCGCCGGCGGCAAGCGAGGCACGATCAAGATTCAGCGTGGGGCTTAACAAGGCTGTCCTGATTCGATGATGCTATACGTTCTCGCTGCCGACCCCCTCCTTCGTTGGTTTCGTCACATTCGCCACACTACCCCACCCCACTTCCACATTGACCTTGCCTGCGCCGATGACCTCCTCTTCGGGTTTCAGAACACCCGGAGGGACCTCGGGCCCATCTTGGAAGGTCTTCTTGATGTTCTCCCAGATCGCGAGCCTCCGCCTCAATCTCATCAAGTGCCAAATCGTAGGTTTCGGGGACTTGGACTTGACGATTGTGAAATCGTTTCTTAAGGAGTTTGGGGATCCTGCGGACAAGCTTCAAGTGGTCTCTCGGGCGGTGTAGTTAGGAGTTCCGGTCGGTCCCGGTGGGCATCTTCACGTTTGGGATCGCATCCTTCCGAAGTTCCGAAACCGTGTTCGCGTGACTGGAGCTTTGGGAGTCGGCCTTGCCCTTAGTCGTGTTGCGTTCCGTACAACGTGCGTCCCCTTATTGCAAGTCAGAGTTCAGCTCTACCCCGCCAGTGGCGAACTGGCACAGTGTTTCAAGGAGGGCGTGCTGCTGCTGACCGTCGGTCCGCGGCATGCGATCTCATGCGAGCTGGCGATGCAGCTGCAGGAGGTAGGACTTCGGGTCGAATTTGTTGACATCTTCGCGATGGCGAAAGCTGCATGCGCCCGTTTCGCCCTTCGTTCAGAGACCGTGAGCAAGTCTACCGATACCCTTCAGGCTGCGCGCGATGATGTAGAGCACATCCCGTATCGGTGGCATAGGGGGTGGAACGAGGACTCGTTTATTAACCACATCCGTCGTACTCTTAAACGACACCATTCCCTTAGCCCCCGCCATGACATCGACGGGACAAAACTGCAGACGAAAATTTACAGACTTGCCAGAGTCTCGGACAATTACGAACGGGCCCATTCTGTTTTGCTTAGGCGTGCCAGGAGGTTGTTCGCGGCAGCCTCCCCGACGCACATCACCACCTTCGGTCAGCAGGTGAAGGAGGTGGCGAAGCTCACCTCGACCTGCCTAGCTGTTGCCCCGCCCCGCCTGCTCACCAACTCCGTCAATGCATCCTCGAGGTTCCATACGAAAGCGAACGGGTGTCTTCTTCGATGTAAATGCGACCTGGGGACTGATTTAGAGGATATCTATCGCTACTGTGTCTGCCCTGGACTTGAACGACTTCTGGCGAGATGGTTGGGTTTTCGTTTGTCGAGTTCCCGTGAGCCCGGTGGGTGTCCTCATTGGTTTGGTCTCATCCTTCTCGTCTCTGCGCCGTCTGACGTTTTGCTGCTGCGTGCTGCGTGTTGCGATGCCTTTTTGTCGACGCTGAACGCTCGAAGGCTGGGGGTACCGGGTCCCCAGACCAACATTTTGAAGCTCGGCTGGGAACAACCTCTCGCCGACACTGTGCTCTGTCCGCTGCCTGGTCAGACAGACCGTCTGCCCTTGTCCAGCGGCTCACTATGCGCAGCCAGCCGAGAGTGGAGTTCATGCCTGCGGACGTGCCTCCAGGAGCCCCTGGGACCCCTCGAGGCCGTTGGGTTCCCGCTGGCCCCGCCTAACTCGATCCTGAATCAACGAACTGGGGTTTATAACAAATCATCATACGCATCATCCTCATCCTCAGCATCATCATCAGCAGCAGCAGCAGCAGCAGCGTCATCAGCATCACCAGCCCCGCCTCCTCCAGGACAAGCATAACATCGGGTGACGACAACTCGATATTCTCTAAGATCCAGCGGTTCTGGAGGTTCTCTCGGGCTCCGCGGCCTTCCCAGAGCGCTGCGAAACGCCCTCAGAGCGTTCCAGAGCGCTAGGGAAAGGATTTCTCCTCGTCCTAGCTCCGTCCTGAACAAAGAGAACAAAGATTGACAGCATTCCCCCCTCCCCTTCTTCTTTCTTATCGTCTCCTTTGTGAAGGGGCGAACCCCGGCCCAAACTTCCAGATATGGTCCCAGATGTGTTTCGCATCTGGTCCAAGGCGGGCCCAAATCGGACAGCGCCAGGGGCCACGCATGCTCCCATGGAACGGACACAAAAAGCAGTGGCGAAGCGTCCTGACCTGTCTGAGGCTCACCGATGTGTACGATGACTGGCAGATCCATTTTGAACATGACTCGCTGTCGGTGACACCGCGTGCATTGTCCATCCGAGACAGAAGGCAACCCGCCCAACAGCGGCCGCTGTCGGTTCTGGACAGGTCCTGAAAGAAACGGGTCCTGAGTTGTTGTTTTTCGCAGGTCTTGACATCCTGGGGCCCTCCACTGGTCCCAGCACGACCGTCAGAAAACAACGCATGACGAAGAATTGGTTTTGAATGAAGGCCCCGGGGTCGAGGACCCGCTTCCCTCAGGACCCACACCTTTCATGGCCGATTCGTGTCGTGTCGACGCGGCAGCGACCCCGCCGCGGGCGTTCGAGGTTGAGCGCCGACAGTGGCCCAGCATCGGCCAATACTCTGAGGCGTGGATGGATCCAACACTGCCGCCTGGGTGGGTGATCTCCGGCGACCTCGGCGGGCGGTGGATATGGATGGATTCGGCCTCCCGGAGCCAAGCTAGTTCCAGATCCACCGCCCGCGCGCGGGTCCGAGGACGCCGGGCCCCAGGCGGTGGGTATGGAGCTGTCCGCACCTCGCAACGGAAACAGCGCTCGGAAACAGCGCCGATCCTTCCAGGTGGAACGGTCCGCGCGATGTCGGAAGCCGACGCCGGGATCGTCACGACACGAGCCACGAGCCCGCCGTACGTGCGCGGGCGTCTCTCTCTCTCTCTCTTTCTCTCTATCTCCTTCTCTCTCCCCCTGGGCGGCACAGGCGGAGGGCTCCCACGCTTCCTTTGGGCGGAGTCGGCTCAGAGGCCCGGGTCGCGTTCGGGCTCCCAGAGGGGAGGTGGTGCCGCTATCCTCCTCCTCCTCCTCCTCTTTTTCCTCCTCTTCTTCCTCCTCCTCCTCCTCCTCCTCCTCCTCCTTCTCCTCCTCCTCCTCCTCCTCCTCCTCCTCCCCCTCGTCGCCACGGCCGGGTTCTCCTCGGAGGTCTTGTCAGGACGCACCCCAGGAGCGGCCCAGGGAGTCGCAGGACAGTGGGGGCCCATGCCAAGAGACGCCCTGCTTGCCTCCAGGGTGCGCTGGGTTTTTCTTGGGTAAATGGGCCTGACGCCCCCGCCCCAGGAGTCAGTTGGCGACCTGGGGCCTCGGGGTTGGGTTTCTTGTGGAAGGTTTCTCGTGGACTGGCCTCCGCCGTATGGGTACCCTCTCCGTCCCCCCCAGGAGTGATCCTTAGTCGGAGGGACCCTCCTGGTGCGTCCCGCGCGCCTGCGGGCCTGGACCCCCGCGGGGCCCTCACAGCCGCAGCGCCAATTCGGGTGCTGCTAAAAGCGCCCCTGGCCCAAGGTGCCCCCTGCCAGGGAGCCCCTCACAGCCTCCAGAGCACCCCTCACGAGGCCCAGAGGACCCCAGGGGCTCCATGCTTGAGAGGAAAAAAAAGCCGGGGGCACCTTGGATCAGGGGCACCTTTCGCAACCCCCGAACCAAAGGGAACCCTCTTGCCTAAGGGGGTCGCTCCAGCGTGCGGCGGAAGAGGGTGCAGTGCTGTAATTCGCCGTCCAGTGCCCCTGAGCTGCTCGACCGACCTGCTGCGCGCTCGCCGGGTCTGCGACCAGAGAGCGGCCGGAGAGGGCCGTTCTCGGCCCGGTTTTACTCGAGGTATCTCGATGCCGATGGCCGGCGGCGAGCGAGGGGTGGGAAGGAGAAGGAGAAGGTTTTCTCAGAAGGCTACGTGACTTCTCAGAAGCCCTCGCGCCTTCAGGGAAGTTTTTGGTGCCCTCGGGAAAGGCCTAGCAAACTTCTCAGAAGGCTGAGGGACTTCCGAGCCTTCTGAGAAGGCCCGCCCCTTCTCACCTCCCCCTTGGGCTCGCCGCCAGGATGGCCTTCCTTCGTTTTCACCCTCTTCGGTTGCCTCCCGAGGGGCCTCAGTCGTCACGGCCGGATTCGCCGCAGAAGTCCTGGTCAGAGCGCATCCCCTTGGGAGAGGTCCGGGGAGGAGCGGTGCGTATCGAGGACTTTCTCGGAATCGAAGGTTCCAGGTTTTCGGGCGTTTTTGTCGTTTCTCGGCTGTTTTCCATCCTCGGGATACCTTCCAGCGGCTGCGCCTCGCCGAAGGCGTTCTGGGGGTGCCCAAATCGTCCCGACCGGCCGCCGGATACGCCAGTCATGAACCGAAAGTCTCAGGGGCAGCGTGGCATCTCTGTTGTTCACCCGGGGTGGCCAGGGCTGTGGACGTGATGCGTCTGGTCGCCAGGGGCAAGGCTTTACGTCCTGTCCGCGTCTCGGCAGGGGATTCCTTCTGTCACCTTCGTCTCTCGGGGGGCTCCAAGTGGCGTGGTGACCACATGGTGTGGTGATTCCGTGGGGATTCGGGGTCACCGCGTGGTTTCGGGACCTGGGTCGTTCTCCGAGGGTGTCGCGGACGGCTGGGGACTCCAGGGTCCCCAACCGTGTGGCGCCAGATCGAGCGGTGAGGTCGTTGGGGATTCCGAGATCACCACGCGGTCCGTCACCACACGGTCTTGGGCCCACGAAGTCTCGCCGAAAGACGGATGCGCGATGCAGTGCGCTTGGAGGGAGAGGAGTTGTTCTCCGTCCAGGATGCTTTGGAACTTTGAAGCTTCTGCAATCGCCGTCAGGTTGGATCTGTTCATGTCTGATTATCCTCCTCACCCCTCGCTCCCTCCCACTGCCCTCATGCCTCCTCTTTCCCTTCCTCTCACTTCTTTCTCCACTAACTCATAAGAAGTTTGAGTTTCGTTGGCTGCCAGCGGCTCTTGCCGGCGCCTATTCAATCGTGAGCATTGCATATCCTGTGTTGCGTCCTGGCCCGTTGGCCCTTCCCCAGCAAATAGCACCAGGAGCATATCTAGCATTGCTCTCCAGCTATCGCTTGTTATGTTCTTTCGCAGTGCGCTGCAAGCTTGGGGCTTGAATTCAGTATTCATTGATGTCGCCCCGCATCCCCACCATGCTCGAGATCCCATCTGTCATGGCGTGCACGTCCAGGGAACCAGGGGAGGTGAGCGCGTTGTGGGCCCCGGAAACGGCAGGGCCGTTTTTTTCACCGTTTCCAAAAAAATGTCCCTTGAAAATGGAAGCGGCAAAAAAACGGCGACCGGAAACGGCAAAAAAACGGCTCCAGGATTGGAACCGGAGCCGGAACCGGTCAAAAAACGGCGACGGAGCCGGTAACAAAAACTGCGTCGGAATTGGCAAAAGAAGGCAAAACGGAACTTGTAAAAAAACGGATTTGTCGTTTCCAGGGCCCACTGAGGGTGAGCGGGCAAGGGTGTAATCTCGCGCCGATTCGGTGGTCTCGAGGGTCTGACCGTGTGGCCTGCCTCTCCGTGCACGGACGTGCTGCGAGCCTCGTCGATGCCGACTGCTGCGGCACTGCCAGCCTATGCGTTTGCCCAAAAAGTTGACACGCGCTCTGACTCTGGCTAAGGCGGCGGGCGCAGCAGATGCCAGAGAAGCTGCCGCGTACCTGAAGGACCGGGCGGTTGCCGAATCGGTTGCGTGTCCATTAAGGGTTGTTTTCGTTGTGTGTTCGTTTTCGTGTGATCAGGTCTTTGCCTTGTGTGGATAGGATGGCAGATGATCAACTGGGAGCGTCGTGCGATTTGTATGGCAACTGCTCATTTCAGTGCGTGTGCACAGTAAGTGTTCTGGATCCTCCAGCATGCCACCAAGCTTCTCAGAGAAGTCGGTTGAACCAGAAGGTTGGGATGTGAACGGATGGAGCGGACATACAGCATTCAGCAAATCCATTGTACAGAGAGTTGGTTGCGGGAAGAGGGGCAGGTTCTGGCCTATGCAAGCACCCAGGCAGTTCAAAAGCATGAAGTCCACCTGGGTGCAGTCATCATGTGCTGTGTGTGTTTAGTGCTTCTCGGGTGAAGGTTGTGAGCCAGACGTACCACTTGGTTGGTGGATGCCCCCACGTGTTCGAGGCCTCGTGGCTGTTCGACTGTGGTGGCCCTCGCCCACGCCGCTGACCAAAAAGTTCGAGGCCTCGTGCGTGGCTGTTGGTTCCGGGTGACGCGTTGGTCTCATGCGCTCGATCTGTGTCAAATTGGGTTTTCGGGGGGCAAGTTTGTGAAGAACAGGTTGCACCAGAGTCTGCTCCTTCCAAAATAAAAAAACAATTCCGCTCGTTCAAGATTTCGTGTACGTCGGCGAATAGCGCCTAATAGCGCTCAGTAGCGCCTAGCGCCGAATAGCGCTCCGTAGCGTCGAACAGCGACCAAGTAACGGCCAGCATCAAGGCAGGACCCCCTCCAGGACCCGAGAATTGGCGTTTACTTCACGGCCCTGGGAGTTTATTAATCAGTTCTGCCATGTTCGATTGCTTACATGGGTGCGTTTCCTGCACGGCTTCGCGCGTCGGGGTGATTATTATGAGGGTGGATTTTCTGCTCTCTACAGTAGTGACCACTAGCGCCCACTAGCGCCATGTGAGGAAGATGCACGAGGTCCGTTTTGCGCGCTTTAGTGCGCCATGGGAACGATCGAAAGTTTCCGTGTGTTGCGATCTGATGCTCCACTTCTCGACAGGAAGTCGAACTCACATGCTCCGCGGGCTTTGCTCCTCCGCTCGCCTCATGGAGGTGGCCCGCCTCTCGCCGCTGGCCCTCTACAGCCAAGGGCCCAACGTGCCACTTCTCAACGAACGAAAGACGGCATAGGCGTAAACGTTTGGAGTGGGTTCGAAGACCAGCATGCGTTCCTGCTCACTCTGAACAGGCCTCGTTGTCGGTGCCGCCGCGGACGTTGTCAATTTGAGGCGGAAGGCAGCCTGCCCAACAGCGGCCGCTGTCAGTTTTGGACAACCTTTGTTCTTGGGCATCGTACCCATTTTTGTGACCTTTTTCGGGCGACCAAGTCATCGGCTCCCGTGCTTCCTCTTCCTTCTCCCTCGTTGCTGGTGCCTAGCACGGTGGAGTCCCCATGCCGTCAGCGAGGACACTGGCAATTTCCGTCGTCAGCCAGTTGGTGGTTTGGGGCAGTATTATATATAAATTTTAGAGGCTCCGCAAGGACTTGTCGGATCGGCGCTGGGCCCCCCTGGCGCCGCCCCGCGCGCCAGGGAGCTGGGCCCAACGCCGGCTCGAGAGATCCGCGCGGAGCTCTGGGAGCTCATGAGGAGCCGATTTTCCACCATCACTACCGTAGGTCAGAGAGGGCGGAGGAGGAGAAGGAGGAGGAGGAGGCGGAGGAGGAGGAGGAGGAGGAGCAGGAGGAGGAGGAAGAGGAGGAAGAGGAAGAGGAGGGAGGAGGAGGAGGAGGAGATGGAGGAGGAGGAGGAGGAGGAGGAGGAGGAGGAGGAGGAGGAGGAGGAGAGGGAGGAGAGGGAAGAGGAGGAGGAGGACCTCCCTCCTCCCTCGTCCTACCTGTGATGGTGGTGGAGGAGAATACACTTGGCCCACCAGCTCGTGGCTGCATGCCGTCGTGGGCCCTGCTCCTCCACCACCTGCCTCCTGCCTGCGCGGTGCGCGCGCGCCGGCCCCCCAGCTCCAGAGGAGGCCCTGCGGGAGCTCCAGGCCGTGAGGCAGCGCACGGCCAGGGCGGAGGCGGCGACCGCGGCCGTGCTCGCCGAGGTGTCGGCGGGGCTTTGGCAGCGGCCGCCTGCGACTGCGTCGGGCAGTCCCCCTGCAGGAAGAATCTCCAACAATGACCCAAAGATAGTCGGGAGGCGAACTGTGTTTAGCTCAGATGTTTGATGATTTGTTTTAGCATTGTCTGGCGATTCTTCATTTTGCCTCTAAGATCCGCCTGTAGGAAGACATGCCCGACCTAAGCCTGCGATCCGAGGCGATTCGATTCGCCGGCCGGGGCCGCGATCCCGATGCGATTCGATCCGGTCAGGTGCAGCGGCAGCGGCCAGGCCAGCCAGAGCCGGGCGCGGCGGTCCGATGCCGATTTGATATAGGCGTTTCCCTGCCGTTCCAGGCCGCTGCCGGCCCGATGCGGCCTCTCGGTGCCGTCCAATGCAGGCCTGCTGTGATGGGCAGCGGACTGCGCCAGGATCAGGCTTCCCCCGATCGTGATGGGCCTGTGTTCCACCACCACCACCATCAGTTGGAGGGGGGAAGGAGGAGGAGGAGGAGGAGGAGGAGGAGGAGGAGGAGGCCCCCCTTCCCCTCCAACTTATGGTGGTGGTGGTGGTGGTGGAAAACAGGCCTAACAGATCGGGCCAGGCTGGCAGGGCACAAGAACATGGTTGGATGGGTAGTTTTAGGCCGCCGCGCCCTACTTGTGGGAGCGGGTTGAAGTTGGAAGGTTGGGCTGGAATCCGTTGTCCAAGCTCTTCGGGGCGCAGCCGAAGTGGCGGGCCTTGTGATGTATGCTGCTGGCCCGGTCTTAAAGCGAGCATCGTATATTGGTGGGCACCCCCAGGGGTGATCGCCGCCTACTTCTTTTTTGAGTAAGTCTCACGCGCAATGGGTGTGGGGGAGCTTCGATCTTACTGGGACTGCATGCTTTTCCTCCTCCTCCTCCTCCTTCACGTCGGCTTCATCCTTCTGCTGCCCCCCATCCTCCTCCGTCTCGCCCCCTTCCCCATCCTCCTCCCCCTCGTCGTCCTCCTCTTCGTTATCGGTAGACGAAGTCGATGTCGAAGCATTGCCCCCCGCAGGCACACACCATAGTGTTCGGCTCGGCAGAAGGTCACCACCCACCAAACCACCCCAACCCAACCCGACGGCCTCAAATTGACCTCCAATTCCAGTGGGGGGGGTCGGGGAACATCGAGAAAACACAGATGGAACCCGTACACCCCCCAACCCGAAATTCGGGTCTTCGGGTTGGGTTGGGGTGGTCTGGTAGGTAGTCAGAAGGGCAGCGAGGGAGCGATCGCAGTGCGGACGGAGTGAGCATGCACCACGGATCTGCATCGACGAGTGTGCCTGGCCAGCGGCCCCCCCCCGCTGGGCGGCGGCGGCACGTGCGTGGAGCCCGAGCCCTTGGCCGGCGGAGGCGCGGAGGCCGCGTGCAGTGGTTTGGACGCCCGAAATTCAGCGAGCGAAGAACGGTATAAGATACACTTTTTCGCTGTCGGGGGCGCCTGTGTCCCTGGGCGGCTGGAAAGTTTATACCCCTACGGTGCCACCGTAAGGGTATAAACTTTCCAGCCGCCCTGGGACAGGCGCCCCCGACAGCGAAAAAGTTGATTTTATACCGTTCTTCGCCCGTTAAGAAATGATGTGGACAAGAATGGGCAGGATGCCCAACAACAACTGTTGTCCAACGTCTGCCAAACATCGACAGCGGCCGCTGTTGGGCAGGCGGCCTCCTGTCTCAAATGGACAGCGTCCGCGGCGGCGCGGACAGCGAGTCCTGCTCAAGCGGAACAGGAACTGCCGTTGGGCACGGTGCCCGAATGAGCCGAACGAGGGTATCGCAGTCAGCGGTTCTTCTGCCCAACAGCCGTGCTGCCGAATGTCGCACCCGATTGTTATTGTTTTCTGGGCTCGAGTCTAGGAATTGCTGTTGGACAGTGCCGTTGCCCAAATGTGGTCATCTTGCCTTGCAGTAAGCTGCTCTTTCCGTACTGTAGGTTCGCGTCGTGTCGACCGGCGGCGACCCCGCCGCCGGCGTTCAACGTCGAATGCCGGCGGCGGCCCAGACTCGATCGATGTTGAACGATCGGATACTTCGGACACGACCGATCGTTCCAGGCTGAACCATCCACGCGGGGTCAGAAACCAGAGCCGGAGTCGTCTCGGCGGCGAGAGAGGGGGGGAGGAAAATGAGAAGGGGCGGGCGGGCCTTCTCAGAAGTTGCCTGAGCCTTCCGCGAAGACACAAGAACCTGTAAAAAGGCGCGAGGGCTTCTGAGAAGTTCCGCCGCTTTCTGAGAAGGCTTAGGCCGGGCATGCCCTCCCCCCCCGGGCAGAGCTTGGACGAAACATCAAAGAACCAGTCCCCAACAAAACGTTTCCGCACTATTTGCTCCCACTAGTTCTGAACCTGCCTCCTGTAGAGGGACTCGCCCGATGTACGAGAAGGCCTCCCCCTCGTTGGCCCCCCCCTCGCTCGCGACGCCCCTCGCTCGCGGCGCGAGCCCCGCCGGGCTCGCGCCGTCCGTGCCGAGTCGGCACCCTGCGGCGAGGGGGCCGCGGCTCCAGGGGCTCCCGCGGCGGCGGAGCGCCGTGAGCTCGAGTCGGGCCCGTCCCTCTTCGGGAGGACGATGCAAAATAGGAAGACACATCTAGTCAGGGGACGATGGATCATTTTGGAATATGTATGTTTTACTTTCGGGCCAGACGAAAAGGCGGGGATTGGGAAAGGGGGGGTTACGACACTTGCTGCATGCAGCTGGTTTCGGCCTCGCCGAGGCGGCGGAGCGCCGTGAGCTTGAGTCCGGCCCGTCCCTCTTCAGGAGGAATACTTGAAAATGGTAAGACAAAGATTCAAGCAGTGGCGAAGCGTCCTGGCTCGCCTATCGCCCCACCAAGCAGTGTTCTCAGAACCTTTTGTGGCTTCCACGAAAAATTGTCTTAGAACATTTCTGGCGGAGTCTGTTTTGTCTTATCACATCGGGTCTATGTTCTGAGAACATGGTTTTTGTTATTAGAACATTTTTGGGTTATAAGGACATATCGTGGTAGGACTGTAGGAATGCCGGGACGGTCGGTCCCTGCTCAAAATACAGTCAGGGGACGCTTGATCATTCCGGAGTCTGTTTTCTGACTATGTTTTATTCTTCGTCCAAAGTCCCCCTGTTTAGGAGGACACGCCCGACCGAACCGCGAGCCGAGGCAAAATTCGGCGCGGTTCGGCAAGAGCGCCGGAGCCTTGCTGGATCCTGCAGGGACGGGCGCCGTGACCCCGGCTTGGGCGCAGGATCCTGCAGGATCTTGCAGGGTCCTTCAAGGCCTGACTGACCCGGGTCAGCAGATCGCCGAACGGGGTCAAGGCAGGGTGGACGGATTCGGTAGCCAATCATGGGAGCCCGGTGTGTCCTTGCAACTCTGCCTCTAGAGTGCACACCAGCGTGCGCTGGCGCATGGTAGTCGAAGCGAGACAGCATCGACTGACGTCGGCTCGCGTCGGTTAGCGCCGATCCGCCAGAGCCAGCCAGATGGCATGGGAGCTCTCATATGTTGCCCTTGGCATCGCTCGGGCGTGTGCATTTTTCCTTTTGCGAGGACCATCGAGGAGCATCCTTGATCATTTGGCGAAAAAGCCACGCACGAAAGTGAAAAAAGCACAGGGAATGGACGTCCGAGCGATGGCGAGTGCCACCCAAGGCGGATCCGAGGTGCGCTGCGTCAGATTGGACAGCATGCGCGCCGCACGCCTCGCCGCGCGTGCGGGGCAGCTCCAGGGGGCTCCGGTCTTGAGCGCGCCCGGCACTTGCACGCGGTTCTCTGCCGTCCCAGGGGGGCCTCGAGAAGCTGCGGGGCAGGCCAGTGGCCTCCCGTCTTCTCGGAGGCCCGAAGGGTGAGGTGGGGGGCCCAGGCTTAAGTCGGGCATGTCCCTCTACAGGAGGAATATTCAAAAATAGTTCTAAAACCTCATATGGACACGCTTGTTTGACCAGTTTTGACAGAATTGAAGTGTTTCTGTTTTTGCCAGCCTGATTCCTCCACAATCCGCCTGTAGGGCCTCCCCCCAGCGCCGCAGGTCTGGCCCGCAGCGTGACGCGCGGACCTGCCCCCGAAGCTGCTCCCTCTCGCGTCGCCCGTCCGCCTGGCGCCTCGGACCTGCCCGTGCGGAGCCAGCAGGAGTGCTCCCGCCCGCCCGAGTGCGCGGCGTGGCGGGGAGGCCACAGTCGTTCTTGCTCTGCCTGGAGGCTCGAGGTTCAGGGGCAGCGTCAGTCAGCCCGTGCGTGGTGAGGCGGGGAGCCACAAGTCGCTCCAGTTAATGCCTGTGCCGGGCCTGCAGCAGTGCTCCCCCGCCCACACTCTGCGAGGTGTGGCGGGGAGGCCACAGCCGCTCTTGCCCCGCCTGTGCCCAGGACTCCCATGCGAGGCCTCCACCTTCCGCCTGTAGGATGACATGCCCGACCTCAGCCCAGGCCCGAGCGACGGTAAGCGCTCGAGGCGTCGTGGTCAGGGCATGCCGTAGCGCCCTGGCGGGCCGATGGCCAGCAGAAGCACGGGGGGGTCATCACCCTGCATGTTGGGGCTGGGCATCACTGCCAGCTGTTTTGAGAATCCGCGTGTCGGTGCAGGGCATCGGGCAGGCGGGCTGTGAGCCCTCTTCCGCCCGCACCCCGTTCAGCTTGCGGTCCTTTCTTGCGGGTCGCGCTGCTCGTCAGCCTCCACTTGGTGCCCCTCGGATGTCTCGAACCGCCCGCCCCGTCTGGCCAAGGCTTCGCTGCAGCCTGGCCCGGTTTCATGCCGTTCCTTCCTCCTTTTTATCACCCCTTTCGAGTGCTCACACTCTGCCTCGTCCTCGTTGTCCTCCTCGCCCTGGAGATGCCGCACTGCGGTGCCCTCTTCTGCCTTCCTCCTCTGCTGTGCGCTGCGGTAGCTCGTTCCTCCTTGCCCTCCCCCTCTCGTTCGCCCCCCCCCCCCCGTGGAACGCCCCGGCCCGCCAGCAGGTGAGCCAGCGCGACGCCCTCATCGAGGAGCTCCGAGCGCAGGTGGCGGCCTCCTGAAGGGACGCCGGCCCCTGCCAGTCCTCTCCTCTCCCCTGCTGATTTCCTTGCCATGAGCGCCTGCTCCTCCTCGTCCTCCTCCTCCTCCTCCTCCTCCTCCTCCTCCTCCTCGCCCCCTCTGCTCGATTGATGTTTTTAGTGGCGGACTGCACCGCAGGTGCGCTTCCATATCTCGCGCCCGCAGGGCGGCACCCCCGTGCTGCGGCGGCTGCTGCTCCTGGTGCACGCGTTGTACGATGAGGTGAAGTTCCTCCACTGGGGTGTTCGGGGTGCCAGCCCTAAGTCCAGCTCTGGTGATATTTCTGCCGTGTGTCGCTGTGTTGATGTGGTATGCCTCAGCGGCACGCGTGCACGACTTCGTGGTCTGACGACTTCGCGAAGCACACTACCGTATCATATTGCTCGTCGGTTTGCACGGAGCCTGGCCCACATTCTAGCAAATTGCACGGTCGCACGACCATGATTTGGCGACGGTGTTTTCGTGATCCTGAAATTGTGAATGCTCCTTGAATGCCTCACGCTTGGCGTTCACGAGGCTCCGCAGTGGAAAATGCAATATGTTAGTGCCCACGATCTGCTTCCCCCCTCGTCCATCATCGCACAAAGAAGCCCGTGAAAGTGGAACTAGGTGTACATACTTCCAGTATCGCGCGAGTGTCGCTTTGTTGGGCGACTGATTGAAAAGACGCTCATTTGGGCAAGGGGTCGCTCAGCGTTGTTCTTCTGTTTCGGTTTGAACGATGGACTCGGCTTCGAACTGCGAGGGACAGGCGTTAATTATGGGGTGAATTCAGAGGAGCTTGGGCCACACGCCCGTGCGTTCTAGCACCACGCAACGGACCAGATGCTTGAGTTTCTACAGCGGGTTGCGCTGCGGAATGTCTCGGGTGACTACGACATCGGATCTACAGGTCACGGAGTTCGGACGGAGACGTACTCTGACCATGTTGGTGTCTTCTCCTTGCAAGCATCGTCGGTAAAACGAGCGTTCTCGATGAAGCCGGCCAACCTTCTTCTCAAACATATGTTTCGTTCAGGGGATCAGGATCACGTTCCGATGCAGGCTGTTATCTTGTACATCTTTGCGATCCGCACTTCCGAAGCGTCGTGTGTGCTGGGACTTTGGTCTGTTGATAGGGGAAGGCTCTCAAACTTGGTACCAGCGCTCGCGCTTCGTTCAGGAATTCGAGCAGGCTGTTTCTCTGCATCCCGATTCTGTTCGGCAGAGGCGCCCGATGATGCATGGGGGCGGCGGGTGCAGCAAGTCTCAACTCCGGCGCAGGAGCGCTCCGCAGGCCCCGACGCGGTCCACCCAGATTGGCCCGTCGGCGCGAGGAGCGGCCCGGCGTCCTCGCCGAGTGCCCCTGGCATCGCTTGGACGTGTGCATTTTTTTCTCGGCGAGGACCATCGAGGACCATCCTCGACCAACGAGCACAACAAAAACACGCGCGAAACCGAAAAATGCACGGGAAATGGACGTCCGAGCGACGGCGAGGTGCCGTGCGCCTCGCGGGGCGGGGCAGCACGCCGAGTCCGCGTCGAGGGCTCTCGCGCGGGTGCCTCGGCGACCTCGCGCCCGGAGGCGGGCGCGCGAGCAGGAGGAAGGTCGGCCAAGCGCAGAGGGGGGTAGGGGGAGGGGGGAAGGCCTCTTAGAAGCACCCCCGCGTCTTAGAAGGCGCGGGCCTTCCCTATAGACGTAAGGCTCAGACCTTCTAAGAAGCAGGTTCTAAGAAGCAGGGTGCTTCTAAGAAGCCTTCCCCCCTCCCCCTACCCCCCTTGTGCGCGCGAGCAGGAGGGACGGGGCCGCGCCGGTGGGCGAGCTGGGCAACAGCGCGGCAGGCGCGACGCTGCATGGGCAGCGGCGCGGAGGTCTGTGTAGCCAGCCGGCTGCTGCGGGGCAGCGCGGCCCACGGCTACTGTTGGGCACTTGGGTTATGCCTCGGAATTCTCTCGGGCGCGTCCCCCTACAGGGGGATTTTCGACGAAGAATTAAACATACTCCAAAAAGATTCCAAAAAGATAAGAAAATACTCAAAAATAGTCCCCGGATTATTTGTTGATTATGTTTTGATTTATTTTGGGGTATTTTTTTATTTTTCGTTGAAAATCCCCCTGTAGGGGGACAGGCCCGACTTAACCTTAGATTTCTCCTCCACAACCAGCCTTAGCCGTCTGGCTGCTGCGAGGCATCGAAACCCACGGCGACGGCCCCACTGCGGCGGCGATGGTTCCGCACCTCGAAGACGTGAAACTTCCCCGCGCATTTCGCAGGTCGCTTCGGCGGGCGAGCTTCGACGCGGCGCCCATCGAGCACGACAGTTATCGCAACCAATACTTGGGCAGCCCCCGCCTGCACACATCGCGCTCGCCTACGACCTTTGTGGGCCCCGGGAACGGCAGGGCCGTTTTTTTCCACCGTTTCCAAAGAAATGTCATTTGAAAATGGAAACGGCAAAAAACGTCGACCCGAAGCGGCAATAAAAACGGCTCCAGGCTTGGAACCGGAGCCGGAACCGGTCAAAGAACGGCGACGGAACCGGCAAAAAAACGGCGTCGGAACCGGCAAAAAAACGCCAAAACGGAACCGGTAAAAAAAACGGCTCTGTCGTTTCCAGGGCCCACTAAGCCTACGACCACCCCGAGATCCGCAAGGAGGACTACGGGAAGGTTGCGAGGGTAGTCTCCCGGGCCTCTCGACGGCGCGCGCCCCCGCCTCGCGACGCCCCCGCGCAGGTGCTCCGCCTGGTGGCCGAACCGCGGCGACGCCGCGACGAGCGTCGGCGTTGCCGATCCCGTCGCGACGCGGACGCAGGAGGAGGAGGAGGAGGAGGAGGAGGAGGAGGAGGAGGAGGAGGAGGAGGAGGAGGAGGACGTCGGACCTCTTTCTGATGTGTTTGCGGCGCGACGTCGGCTCGCTGGAGACCGTCGAAGACTCGGGCGAGCACGCGAGGGGCTGGGCGCGCGTCGCGCGCGCCCCTTGATCTGACCCCCATATCGGCCACGACGCGCCCTGGCAAGGCCAGCAGCAAGCGCAAGTTCTTTGTCGAGCGGCACCTCCCCGGCATGTATAGAACAGGCGCGTCCTGCTTCCAGGCTCAGTTGCAGCGCGCGCCGAAGGAGGACCTTCCTCCTCGCGAGCATGGCTGCCACCAGTGCCCCCCGCCCGCGTGGGAGCCCGACTATGTGAAGAGGAACTTTGGCGGCGGCGGAGGCGACGCGGCCTCTCGACGCCGACGGCCAAGGAAGACGCGAACAACGCGTTTGTCTCGCCCTGCTTTGAGGCACCCCGCGAGTCGGTCGAGATGGCGGCGCGCCAGGAGGGACAGACTTACTTCCGCCAGCGGCGTTCGGTTGCCACCTTTCGCGATTGCGGCGCCGGCGGCGATTGGGATCTGCGCGGCCGGTCCGGGGCCATCATCGGCGGCGCGCCTTCTGCGCTGCTCTCCTTGCGGGCCCCCGCCCGCGGGCGGCGCCCTGGCTTCGGCGACTTCGCTCGGCTGCGCGGCGCAGGGCTGGTATGCCGGGGCAGGCTGAGACGCGGGAGGGGTGGCGAGCGTTTCCTTCGCTGCCGCCTTTTCCTCGGACTGGCGTCAAGGCGACGACGCGGCCACGTGATGCTATATGCAATGTTCGGCGTCCGCAACTTGAGGCATCGATCGACATGGGCGCGAGGCCTCTGCTGATGATGCGCATCGTCCGCACGTGGCCCTCTCCGCGAGCAACGCTGGTTTTGTCTCTCACCATCGTCATTGCGAGCTGTGTCTGGCCTTGCGCCCGCATGGATGCACCCGCGATCCAAGTGAGAGTTCGGTGTCTCCCAGCATTCTGGGCCTTGGTTGGCAGCGCCAGGCGCGGCCCTTGATTGGGGGCAAAATCTTGGGGAGTTGGGATCAGTGCGACAATGTGGCTCTTGGTTCCAGACACTGAGTGCCCGACCCGAGCTGCGTTGGCGTCTTCAGGCTGCTCGTCGGGGCTGCCGTGGCACGGGGCGTTTCTGGTCTCGCTAGAAGATCTGGCGGCTGTCTCGCATTGTCGTCGGCGCCGTCGCGCACGAGGCGGCGCTGAGTGGGCTCGCGGCGCTGAGCGAGCCCCAGGAATGGCATATCGACATGTTGCTCTCGAGTATCGGGCGCAAGCTGTTGCCTGTGGTCGCGCGCTAGAAGACGTTTCCGCATGGTGGCGACGGCCGGCCCTATCGCGGCGACAGCGGCGATCACTCTCTGGCGCGCGCGGCGATGTCGGACGCAACTGCGCTCCGTCGGCTGGGACCTGCTCGCGCCGCGGTTGGGCTTTGCATTCGGCGCTTGCGACAGCGCTCCCGTTGGCTCCAGGCGCCGCGTCGACGCCCGCAGGTGCTGGCGGCGGTCTTCGGGCGGCCCCCCGCTCTTTGCGCCGACGGCTCAGTCGCGAAGGGGGCCAAACCGCGCGCTCGCAGGTTCGCGGCTGACGTCGAGGCGCTACCCGATGTCGCGGAGGCCACGGGGCTGCGCGAGGGCCGGCGCGCCCCGGCTGGCCAACTCAACGCGACGGCCTGGTCCGAGAACGAGGCGTTGCGAGACGGCTGCCTGGCGCTCGTCCCCGGGCAATGTCGCGCGCAAGTTCGGTCGGTGGCCACCCCGCTCCCTGGGTGGCCATCCCCGGCGGAAGCGGGCGAGGTGCCTCCCGCGCCGCCTGCCGAGTAGCGCAGCGAGCTGCTCGACGGCGAGGGCCCGAATGGCGTGCGCCCTGCGCAGAGGTTCCCCGGCAGTTGCGCCATCGTCGCGCCCTCCTCGCGAGTCTATCTTATGGCGTTGATGCGCAGATCGGCGTTCCACCGATGCTCGATCGTGGATGTCTGCACTTAGGTCGCCCGCCCGTTCGAGAGTCTCGAGGCGCTGCGGGCGCGTCTGATCCCAGCCCGCGCCCCCGAGCCTGGGCCGAGGCAAGCGCCTCCACTAGCCGGGGATGGCGGCCTTTCGCTTCCGAGATTTTGGAGGAGGCGCGCCGCTCCGGGCGCGCC